CATCCGATTCACATATATGCATAAATTGTTTCTGGAGGAGCACTCATTAATACAATCACATCAACCTAACAAATTTGTGTACAGATGGAAATTTCACATATACGCTTAAATAGCAAATTAAACACACACACATACACAAGAGGCATGACCCTCTGATAAGCAACAAAAGCTAAGAATGACAGGATGTTTTGAGCACACCCTAAATTCTCCAAACTCCAGAAATCTGCATTAATCGTAGTATTTTGTCTCTTTGGGAAATGCTGTTTTTACATCTAGTGTGTTAATAAATAATTGTAAAGCTCCTTCCCCCTATTCTCTGTCAGATACTGCTGTGCATTTTCTCTCCTGGATTACAGAGCCTGCAGAACACAGATCAAGGACACGACTGATGATCCTTCTGTAATTAAAGCTCCCTAGTGATGCCAACACGAGTTCTATACAAAGCGCAAGGTGGAAAGTACCTTGCCCTTTTCTGAGCCCTTACAATCTCTTACGCAGGCAGCAATCACAAGCCACTAGAGAGAAAGAAAGAATATAATTTGTTTTTACTTTGGGGAAGAAACTGCAAGATATTGCTCAGTTTATTTCAAAACTGATGATGTCTGCAAACAATCCTCCTTACATATTCGACACATTCTTATGTGAGTTCCCCCAAAGGAATTCATTAACCGTAACAGCAGATACTTCTGTTTAGCCTAAAAATTAACTCACTATAATTAAAACAGTAAGAGGCAGAGAATTTTGCAGACATTTTTTAACACAGACCAAAGAAAGTTTCTTTCTGCCTCACCACTCTATTGTTAAAACTGGACACAACAGATCTCAGAGAAGTCTGTGTTTAAAAGATGAAGCTTGTGCTTGTTTGCATGGGAGTCGACTTGCATAGTTCATTTGTAACAATTAATCAGTAGCAAAGCTGCTGCAAAATGAACCCTTGAATACAGATTATGGGGAATATTAATTTCAGTAATAACTGAGTACTTGGAGGCCCACATGTAAAGAGACTAATGTATTATACATCTCACGTTATTATGCTGTGAGAGGTTAGAGGACTTTGAAATCTTACAAGACAGACACCATAAACTGCATATTGCATTATTGGGAGAGAGAACTAAGACTGAATTTACAAGACACAGAAATATAAGATTAACCCACACAAATGTCAGGAGGGGAAAGTGGACATCTTACACTGCAAAGCCACTCTTTGAAAGCAACAAACTGTATCTGGATTATTTACACTTTCAGCAGAAAAGTCGTAAAAGTATCTGCAGTGGAATGCTGCAGCCCACAGATTGTTAACACGTACTGAAATCTCACAGATTATTTTACAGATAAAGGTAACTGAAGAGATACACATACTGCTGGTTTAACCTATGAATACAGGTGCAAATAACTGCTTTCAGGCAACTTAAACAAACCAACCACCACCCAACCTTTTCTGGCATCCCCAGTTGTTGGTGTATTTTCAAGACCTTCTACAGCCCCCCACTCTCAGACTCATTCAGCCCAAGATGTATTCTGTCACTGAACAAAGTCAGCAGCTAAACAGAAAAAAACTTCTCACTTCTTCATGTGTGTAAGTAGACAAAGCTTTGTGTATAAGAGAATTCATCCGTGTTCTTTTGTAATCCATGCTGTGGAGGTATAGCATGCTAAGGGACAACTACTAATTTTGAACAGTTATGAAGAAAGCAATGAGGAAAGTTACGAGGATCTGTTCATGACATTAACTGTACACGGCTCAGGTCTTTCTGGTAAGGCAATTGGAAATTTCTGTAGAAAAGGTAAGAAGAAAAGCTAAGTAAGTTCTGGTAAATGAAGACTGAAGGTGTCACATATCAAAATTTCTTTTAGTTACAAGGATGAGTTTAATAATAAGACTACACATGATCATCTTAAACCTACAGCTGAGAGACCAGACCAAATAGCACAAGGTAAAGTTCTTTTAATTTTAATAAGGGAATTATGAAAGTAACTAGAGGCCTCAAATACTTCAGGTTTTAAACTTTACAAATATCACCACAAAAATATAACCAAGAAATACAGACTTTCATCTGTGTATGATCCAAATAGAGCATATGCAATAGTGCTTGTGCAAACCCCTAGACAGAGACACGAGGAACACGCCAGGATGTCCTGTCTGGCTTCAAAGCTGTTGCTCTAGAAGGATGCAGATCTTCTGTGGATCTTGTGTTAACACCTGCCAGTCCTATGCAGATGTTGATGGGTAGGGCAGAAGATCTCAAGCAGCATCAAATCCCTACGTGCTAACATCTGACCGTCACCTAAGGATAGGCAACATGTTTTATGACTAACTTCTTAAAACACAATTAGATTTAACCATTCCTACAAGTACCTGAACACCTATTACTTCCAGGCAGTAAAAAGATGTGGTTATCACAGCTACAAATATAGCAGGGTATGAACTGCTTGTAAAACTGTACAAACAGTAGCATATACTCCAAGTGAAGAATGACCTGATAACAAACCCTACATGGACGTTGTAACCAGTTGCATTTTTATCCTCTGATGCTGGATTCCTGTTCTTTGGTCAGTCTTTCTAATATGTTGGTGCTGTAACAAATCCTATTTTTCTTTCCTTCTTCTTTCCCTCCTAGAAAGTGGTGATCTCTCAAGTAACTCAGATGTGTATTTAATAGCAAGGTCCAGATTTTTTTTTAGGAAATGGAAGAAAGAACAGTAGCTCAAAACACTCCCTTCTCCACCTCAGAAACCGACAACTTAAAAACTAACTGTAGAGAAGTATACCACCAAAACCATGGCTGCCACTGAAGTATTTTCTTAACAACACACCTAGTAAGATATATAATGCAGTGTATTTAAACACACTTCTCCCTCCGTGGCTCACAGCAGTTAGCTTAATACAGGAAATTCCAGATACTTTTAAGTTTTGAAATCACTGAAAAGCACACAAAGCAGCTGGTTGACCATTCAGGATCCACAAAGGATACAGTACTTACCTTTAGAGAACATACTTTATTTAATAGAAGGTTTTTGCTCCAATATACAAAATAAGGGACTGTTGTCCCAATTAACATTTACATAGTTACACAGCAAATAATTTCCACCATTTACAACAACTGACGACTTTCCCACGCGCCCCACTGTATTACAGCCAAGAAAAAAAAAGCTCATAATGTTTTACATACCAATTAGTTATATTTTGCACTTTCCTGCCTCTTTTCATTTTTTAAGTTGCAGTTTCTGATATCAGTTTAATTAAGAACTTACAATTATTTCAGTTGCACTAAAAGAAAAACGAAATATATAATTTGAAATACTATTTCAAAACCCCTATACAAAATAAAAGTCAGTATCTTATAAAAATACATAGCAGGAGTAAAACCAGTGAAACAATAAAAATGTTTTAAATTTTGTTAGGGCATAAAATATTTAGCGACTAGTCTCAGCTTTTAACTACACTAAAACAAAAAAAAAAACCACAAACAGAAAAATAAAGAAAAAAAAGACCCCCCACACATATTCAATTAGCAAAAAGTAATGTGACAGTTCTCTTACAATACTGTACCTTTAGTATGCAAAGGACTTCATCCTTCTAACATGCACCATTATCCAATTGATTCACCCCTTAACCTTTTTCCCACTGAAAGCTGAAAAAAGGATTTAAAATTATTTGAATCCCTTAAGAAAAATCCAATCATATTTTCTGCACCTCGCACAATATTTGAGCTGTACTTTACAATGCTGGTAGTTCAATCACGATACACAATTTTCTATAAAAGAATTCCAGCCAAACCAAGGCTTTAGAAACTTTGCATTTTACAAAAGTAATCTGTTACAGTATGACAGTTGCTAAATAGCCCAATTTATTTAGTGACCCTGTTAAAGATTTGTTCAACTGAGTGAATAGGTGAAGTCATTTCCTGAGCTAAAAGATACAGGTAAGTAAATAGTCAGTTATAGCAGCAGACAGGAGACATTCTTTTTAAAAGTTGTAACAGTATCAATAAAATAACCTTAGAAAATTACAATAATGTAAAAATCACTAGCTGAAGAGGAAGTGACAAGGACATCCAAGACCTGATTGCCATAATCTAGAATGCACATCCCATGACTTTCCAGAAATTACATTCAGCTACTGTCAAGACAACGTACTGGTAAGTGGAAGAATGTCAAATCACAGTAGTTCACAGATCAGGTGTTTTGTCAAAATTTAATTCTTAATGCTATTTCATAAACCTAAAGCAAGATAAACTGCCTAGTTTCAGAAGTTTTCACTCTAAGGGACTTAAGAATTATTACTTTTAGAGGAATGTGGTATCTTCAGTCTCATGAAATTGCAAGCTTACTTCTTCTTATTACTCAGACATCATTTATGCTTGAGACCTTAAGTGGTTTTTGGGAGTCACCCATACCACTAGGAACAGAAAAAGATCTGGTTTTAGGAAAGGGAATAATATTCTTAAAATGGTTTACTTTATCCAAATCATTCTAATTTGTATGAGCCATTAACAAATTATTAAAGGACTATAAAGACCAGTATACCACCACTGCACCATTATTTTCTTACAATATGCATTTTTAAAGTCTTCTAATAGTTTGATCACCTTTTTTTTCACCCACTGATGGAAAGAGGATATTCTAATTTATTGAAGTACCTCACTTAGATACCAGTTCCTCCAGAAGGAAATCTCTCTTCTGTGTTATTCATTTTTTACAGCTACCATAGGCATTATTTTTAGAATTTATATTGGCTCTTGTTTAACATTTAAACATAATTGGTTTTAATTCAAATTAATATATAAAATTTCCAATACTTGTTAGAATAAAGGACAATACACAAGATCCTAAGTTACAATAATTTATAAATAAAAATAAACTATTACAAACCAAATCTTTCCCCATACGGAGATTAAAAGCCATAATCTTGACTGATTGTTCCCGATCATACACTATAAATAACGTAAGCTTCTTCAGAGAAGCAAAACATACTTGCCTCCCTGACACCAGTTTATATCTTCAGTTAAACGACTACCATCAAGAAGGCAATTGTGTTGGGCCCAGATATATCTTCTCGCTTACACGTTATCCCCCGAACCTCATTCTTTTAAACTTAAGCACAGGAAACTAAGTTCACAGAGTCCTTTAACCTTTTACACCCAAAATCTGTATGAAATACAGATTTCTAATGCTCCTATTGCACCAATCTGGCAGTGCAGTTAGAACCTGATTCAAATTCCACTGAAGTCCATGAAAGGTTCTCCAGTGACCTTAAAGGGCTTTGAATTAGGACCACAGAGATAGCATTACCTAACAGAAAGCTCCTGCAAGAGTGGCTGGTATCTCTATTTTTGCTTATGGGATGCAGTGGAGATGTGTAGTCAGCATGTTACCTGAGCAAATAAAATTAAAATGATACAAAGGTTTTAATAATCCCAAACTCTTTGCTTAGTTGTGTGCAAACTGTGCCACTGCCCCTGGAGCTCCCTGCTTTCCTTTTTCTCAGTGCTTGCTCCATTCCAAGAGAGAGAAGTGAGACATAAAAATCTCTCTTCGCTACAGTTGCCCCTCAATCCCGAGACTGATAGAAGAGGATGTAACCAGATTCAGAGTTCTTTGAGATGTCTGATGTCAACCCGTAGAATTCTTCAATAGCTTGTGCATCAATTTTCTGTACGTAAAAACCCAAAAACTTAAAGTAAGAATACCTTGCATAGCATATACATGACATGAAGTTCCACTCTAAAAACTACTGTCAAACAAAAATAACTTTCACATAATTACATAAAGTAATAAAACCCAAATAATTCTTAAACTTGTTATGCTTTGGTTTCCCATCTGCCATCAACTGCACAGAAGGCAGCAGCTACAGTTATTTTTATATATACATTTTTAAGTATTAAGTGAACCTGCTGTAAGTGCAATCTTATGTGCATTGCTTGTGCAAATTTCACAAGGTTTTAAAGTTTTAAAAGTTTTAAAGACAACAGTATCCCATTAAGACTTTGTATCAATATGAAGAATGTAAGTACAAACTATACTTTCTAACTCTGAGCAGTATGAGCCAATCCAGTGCAGAGGAGAACATAAAAAAAAAGGCAAAGAATGAAGGGTAAACTTGTTTTCTAGTTTTCACACAGAATGTTTGCTTGTGATCCTACTAGCTGAGACAGCCTCCTATAACCAAAATTTTGGGGGAGAAGATGCAAAACTTCAGTTGAGAAGGTGAAAAGAGTCTTGCCTGGGTTTCATAGTCATCATTTTCAGCTACGAAAGAAACTGAAACTGAAAGCATGCTCTCTTGCCACATTTTAAATCTAAGGCAATTAGGCTACTAACAGCCAAAAGATGGAAAGATAATTTTTCCTTCACATAGGCAGATTTTATGTGAACTCATTCCTATTACTTGGAATAAGACTGTTTTAGATTTAAGAACAAAAAGATTATTCCCTTTCTCCTCAGAAGGGCTAACAGAAAAAAAATACATCACTGCCAGGCATTACTGTTGTGGAACTGGAGAGATTGTCCCTGATGTTTCTGAAATGATGTGCAATTTACTACAGCGCTCTCTGTTTTCCCTGAAGGAAAGTGAACTTCTGACCCTATTGAGCCATTACACTTCACTGTCTATCTTGCTAAGACACAGGGGCAATCCTTCTACTTTCACAACAGCTCTGTATATTTCCATGTTTGACATTTCCTGCAAAAAAACCATCCATAATGTGGCTTGGAGAGAACTCTTCAATACTCTTGACTCCCCATGCCACTTAACAATTCAAGTCCAATACCTGTCTCACTCATTTTTCTTCTTTTCAATCACACAGATTTTTGTGCATGGTAAGGAAAATATAAACTCTTCATTTTATAAATTAAATTAATTCAAATAAAGGCAGGAAAAGGACTTGGACAGCACAATCAAACTTCTGTTCATGCATAAGCATAGACAAGGGGAAAAAAAGGAAGATGACAGAACAAGCAAAAACCGTGAGATGATATGATAGAGACACACCAGCAGTTCTTGCTCTTGCTCTCAGTAAAGAATAAAATACAACTGGTGACACAGAAAGATGACAAAGACAAAATTGTTGAAGGGAATTCTGCTGTTCCAAGAAATTAGTTAAAAACTTTTTTTTTTTTCTTTTTTTTATTTTTTTAAACGAGAGTAATTCCTGGAAGCACAGCTAATACTGGCAAAAATACCACCAGAAGCAAAAAGCTCCTGTTTTAGGGATTATCTTTATAATTTTAGGGCAAAATCTCAAAAATCTGAAGTTTCTGCCTATTTTGAGAGTTGTTACACCTTCACCTGATAAAACAGATGACCACACTGACCCATTCCATTAAATCATAAGCTCCTAGACAATACAAACAAATGGCTTGCTCCAACGAATTGCCCTCAGAAAAGAACTGCAGTAAAAGCAATTTATCTTTATTTGCCTCGTATCCTGGCCACAAGAATGGCTTGTTAAACAAAGGGGAAAGACAGTGGCCATAAACAAGGGAGCTTCTTTTAAGATGTATAAAAACCAAAATGCAATTCGAAGTATGGTAGCATACCAGTCCTTTTACTTTACTTAGTCACGTACACAGTGGGGGGGGGGGGGGGGATGGTCAGTGTGAGAAAAAAAGCCATGGTTACACAAAGCTCACCTCAACAATATCGTCATCAAAAAGCAACCAGAAATCATGACTCTTCACTATTGCAATATAATGTCCTCTGTTTGGGCCACTGTAGAATAAAATTAGAAAAGAACACAGTAACACACAAGTATGTAGAAATATATTCCATTACATATTTTTCTTGGAGAAAAGCGGTACTTAATGGTAACTAGAATGGCTACCACTACAACTTTTGCTTTTCCTTTTTGTCCCCTCCACTTATATCATCTTCACAATAAGGTCCTACTTTATATGTAATATTGCGTTAAAAGAAGGATTATAATTTCAAACAAGGAATAGACAGCACGAGCATTGAAAAATATAAATGAAGAGACAGAGAAATGAAATTCAAAAACAAATCCCAAACTATTTCTGATCTTCAGAAAGAAGCAGCTGTAGAGCTGATGTTGTCCAGCTACAGTCTCAATTGGGAATCTCTTCATCTGACCCACTGTAAGCAAAAACTGAATTAAACTGATAATTTAGAAGTCTCAAGTATCCTCACAGCAACAAGAAGGGCTCACTATTAAACTAAAACTGTTATAATGCACAGCTCTTCAGTTTATGGCAGACAAGAAATTTCTCCACAACTATGACAAAAAAAACCCAACTCTAATGGTGTCCTATTTCTAATCAGGTTTCAAGTAAGGAAATAACACACTTTCTGAAATAGCTGAATGTTACAACTGAAAATGGACAACTATTTAAAGCAGTTCTGGAACTGCCTGAACTGGCTAATAGGACTCATACAATTTTTATGTCTAGATCAGGGAGGGTAGGTTGCCACCTGTGAGGGGCATGTCTGTGTGCCAAATTGCATAACTCAATGAAAATAGGATTTATCTTCTGCCATGGCTCTGAGAATGCAGTCCCAAGACTGCAGCTTGAATAAGAGACAGAAATGGTCAGAATTAGACAGAATGGTCAAAAATGGACAGAACAGATTTTCCCTAAAATCCAGAACAAGAGCATCCCAGAAAACTATGGCACAAAGTCTTATTTTCCAAAACTGTCCTGGCCAACTTAAGATATATTCACCTTAGCTCTACTGTAATCTTAGGTCTATCTAGGGAGGAACGGAGGTGTGAGTGAGAACATTGACGGACTGGAGCAAACTGCCCAAAGAGGCAGTGAATCAGCATTCCTAGTCACAAAACTGAGCACAGTGCAATCCAATACTGAAGTCAGCCCTACTTTAAGCTTTAAGTAGTTGACTCCACAACATAAATTATTCTGTGATTCTAGATGGTAAACCATCACTTTCAGCTTCGGGGCTTTTATCTACTCAATAAGCAGTTTGTAGAGCAGCCCTGATTTTAAGACTTGAAGCCACAAGAACAGTTGTTGAACATAGCAAAATCAAATACAAATCTAACAGTCATATTTCAAAAGCAAGGAAACAACATAATCAACAACATTCATAATATATGGATATATTTTAGAAAATGTTCAAGCTTTCAAAAGAAAATACCCTAAAGGAAATACTTTGTAAAGGAATCTGTTCCATAATGCTTTCCTTCCTAAGAAACTTTTTTTAAAGTGATCTTTTAATGTTATTAGAGTAATAAGATATTGCAAGTTTTGTGGAGGTTTTTAAATGTAGTTAAGTTCATACAAAGATCTATGATGTGAAATACACCATTATCACTTTTCACAATGAACTATTACAGCAACAAAGCCATATGCTGTCAGGATTGATACCATCTCCCCACAGTGCTTTCTTTCCTAAGAAACTCCTCATTTAAGAAGTCTTTAAATGCTATGAAGAGTTACATGGTACTGGGTGCTTTGTTCTGATTTTTAAACATAGTTACGTTATACAAAAATGCCTGCATTAAATAGTTATTACCTTCCACAATGAACTACCACAGCAACAAGGTCATACATTCTGTCAGGATTGGTGGCATCTCCTGAGGTGTTAAATAAACGAAGCTCTAAAGGAAAAACTACTCTATAAGAGAGTTTTGTGTATCGATGAAGCTGATCCATGTATTTAAATCTCTTCAAATGGAGAGCTAGAATCATAGGCAGCTTTTTTACTTTCATCCTGAAAAACAAAAATCCAACAGTATTTTTAATATCCATCCAAAACATTCAGTTGATATCAACAAACAAGAAACCCAGCTTACTGAAGTCTTAAAATAATTCTGCAAGCATTAAAAGAAGCTCAACTATTCAGCTGTTTACAAGTATGTCTTGTGTTGCTAAATCAAAGATTTTAACAATTAAGAGAATTGCAAATGTATTTAAAACAATAAGCTATAACATATAATAATAACTAGCCATGACGAACCCACATAGTAATTTAGACATAATGACTGCATAGCACAGTATTAAATTTTTAAACATACCTACCCACAGCTTCCCTGAGTTCCCAAAAGCAAAAGCTAGATCCCACTTGGTATACAGTGGAGCTATTGCAACAAAGTTCCTCCAATATCCTGTTCCACCCCCATTACTCAGTAAACCAGCCAAGTCAAACAAGCTTTTTAAAGTAAGCTTTGTTACACTACTTTGTTACATACGTATTACTCTAGGTTTTCATTTCAAGCCATTCATTCAACATCGCCAAGGGATACAAATAGCACACTGTTATTCACCGTACCTCATTCTACCCAAACAAGATAATGCTGTGCTCTAGCACAGTAATTCTGTACAAACGTTGCAGCATTATTGTGTATCAGTCAAAGCCAGAAAGTGATAATCCAGTTTTACTGAGAGCACACTGGCCCCTTTCCCTAGTTGGAGGTACTGAGATCTCACATCAGTGCCTACAAACGCTCCTCAGCCAACCACAGTTGCCTGGCAGAAAAGAGACTTCCGCTCTCTGGGCAATGAATCTGCCCACACTAACAGGCTGGCCAAGCTGGAGTGACCTGCTTCTTGGCACAGCTGATTACCTTAGATCAGCACTTCACTGAACTTTTCAAACTGCCTTCAGCCCCAAAAGGTACCTCAGCAATCCCAACAACACAGCCCAGGTTTCAGACATGTCTACTAAGACCATATTATCAGAATGTCAGGAATTATGTCTGCACAGTTCTCCAAAGAGAGGGGCCTGGGGACAAAATCTTTGAAAACTCACCTTCCTTTCCTTTTTCTCATGAAATTCAGACTGATACTAACCTGTAGGAAACCCTGCTAGACTCAAATTTTCTCTATGGCCTGCAAATGAACTAGGAAATGAAAAATGTAGGCGCTATTTTTCAGAGAGTTACATTTTTATCATCTTACTGAGATATAGATATAATTTCTGCTCTATTTTCTTTTTTCAAAATTAAGTCCTCTTCATATAATTCAATTGTGAGAATAGCTCTCTTGCTGGTTAAGAGATTCAGTCCACCTTGCTTGCTAGTTGAGTAGACACTAACACAGGTAAGCTCCATGTTAGAGAGACTGAAGAAAATTATGACTGTAGTGAAACTGAACTTAAGCCCCACATGAAAAGCAAACTATAAACGATAAGAGCTGTGTTTTGCCAATATGGCAGTGCCTACAGTACAGGTTTACATCAACACAGCTTATATTGGTCAGGGATCACACTAACTCCCACACAGTAAAAGAGCTCGGGCAACAGAAAATAACAGACATGCCTGGCTTCACAACCCTCTAATACACACCAATTAGTAGGCTTAGGCAATATGTGAAGGCAGACTTGGCAGATGAGATATCCTAAAAGCCATGTGCTGGATCTATGGTTAAACCAAATAATCAGAATCAGTGGTACAACCAGTAGAGCATGTCAGTGTTCCCACCCCTTCAACCAAATACCTTCTCAGATAATAAATACCACACAATACACAAAATCAGAGGTTTTTCAAAGGTGTAAGCAAGACTAAAAGAATTATTAGGCAGACAAGAATTGTTTTTAAACATAATGAACTTCAGGCTTCCACAGAGCTCCTGATGCTTTTCAAGAGCACTGTGAAGCAGAAGTTTAGCACATCTAACTGTGCACTTTTAACAAACCAGAAACTCAGCTAACAAAAAAAGTTACACACCTCATTCTGATTGAAACAGAAAAAAGTGCTATCAAACTAATTCTTATAGCAATTGGAAAAATTATTTTATTGTCAAGACAAAACTAAGTCTAAAAGTCACAGGAAATCAGTGACTTTTCATCATTAAGCATAATCTCTGATTAGTCGCTGGTAGTTTCTTTCAACTTGTCTTTTTAACTTATTTTTGGTCTTAAGACCATTCTTTTTCTCATTCATAAAACAAATAATGATCAAATGAGTCCCAAAATGCTTTACATGGATTCTTATTACTCATGGAAGTAGACCCACTGAATTCAAGCAAGAGAAATGCAACCAAGTTATTCTTAAGTGGAGGAAGAATGAGAAAACCTAAGGGAAAAAGAACGTTCTCCCCCTGCCTCATACACAGACACACAAGGAAATACAGAAGTATTTTCATTAAATGCATAGGTTATTTTTTGCCCTCCCAGAATCTGATGTACCTTTTATGTGCTTCTTGCTTACTGCGACATTCTTCACAGTAGTATTTGTATTCACTGCACAGAGTTTCTGTGTTGCTGAAACCCCTGAATGAAAAAAAAAACCAAAATGAAATGCTACAGATACTGTTTTCTTTTCTGAAATATACATTAAAATATGTACAATATAAACATAATTCTATACTCTTAAGTCTACATAAGCTAGAATTGTGACCTTTTAGTTTTACTTCCTGTTTTTAGGTTAAAGATAAAAGACACATTATGAAAATCCAGATTTTTGCGTCTACCTTAAACAATGAGTGATTGAAGTATTCTGCTCCACATCAACTGAAAGGTCTAAGAAGTCTTCATCTTTGCTGCTTATCTGCATAAGAAAAGAACCAACAGATTATAATTAAACCAAGTTATACTAATTTATCTCTGGTTTTCAGTACCATTTTCTATTGACAGAATGCATCTCAACTTAAAAGAGCCTTTTAAAAACTGTTATAAGTGGCCTTTCTGTTTCAGAGATTTGCTAGATCTGTTTCTGATTTTGCTCAGAAAGAGGGAAGTGTGTACGTGTATGTGAGGGTATATAATGCCAGTTGTCATTATGCTGTGATTGCAGCTTAACAATATTAATGCCAAGTTCCTTGTACACCTCACCCTTTTCAAAAGAACACAATCATCTTCTATTTAGTGCTCTCACCACCGTTCTTCTCCTATGATTCCCTCCCACTGAGGGCTGTGTATTTGCATGTCATAGTGTCCTTAATAAACAGCAAAAATACTTTGAAGCCTCTTCCTGGTTAGATTCATGCTATTAAATGAGCAGCAGATAGCAAATTTATTAGTAAATGAGAGCTTGGGACTTGGTCTGAGAGGAACAGAATAGTACAGAGCTATTTCTTACAAAAAAAAATTCTTAGAAGCAGAGAATATATTCCATCACCAATCCTGAAAAATGGTGATGGATGAAATCCACAGCTGCCCTGAAAACCATTTATGTTATCAAAAGGTTTAGGAAACAGTAATCTGCAGCCTTAACTTTTGTCTGCTAGTGTTTCCTCTCTAGGGATACTCAATGCCACTGTTGAGAATGTTCTCTGCTTTTTATTATTTCTGGGTACAAAAGCAAATGCTTTTAGAAAAGATGCCTGGCTGCAGTTTGTTGATTGAAAACAGGTACAGAAGAACTACTTGTAAATTGATCTTTAAAACATGAGATCTATGTTTCCTTTTCCACTCAGAATAAAAATAAATTTGGGAAGTTTTCCTTCTTATCTCTTCTCAAGAGGTAAGAAACACACAATTCCTCAGGGCAGCATACATGGAAAAATAAAATAAAAAAAATAAATAAAAAAATACAGATAGTCAAGACAACTATTTTTGAGAATTAATACAAAATCCAAAACTTATGAAGTTAAGTTAAAAGTTTCTGTTAATATCTGTGGGATGACTGGGCAAGGACTCCTATTCTTCTGTACCTACTCTTTCCAAGAGTAAGTGTACATGCACAAAAAATGTAATTATGCCAGTATACATCACATCTACTACATCATTTAGTTGCTGAAGTGTAATGTTCATACTTTTAAAGAGATCACAGAATGTATATGGAAAACTTCCAATATGTTTTTATGGTGGGGAAAAAAAAGCCACCTGCATCTTCTGTGTGCTGCACTGTCTTCAGGGATGTACTATGGTTTACTGATGTGGACAATTCTTCAGAATATCCCATTGCAACCACTTTTGGAATTGTCAAACTTAAGTTCATAACACTAGAACTCTGGTGGAAATCATCTTAGCCTAGGGATTAAGAATGGTTCAGGAAAAAAACACGTCAGTTCTAGAAAATACTTTGCTGCAGTCTTCAGCTAGGACAGTTGAAATTAAGGGCTCATGTGATCAATGTTATTCAGACATGCAATTAGAGAATTCTTCCTCTCTTGGTCTATTAAGAAAAAAACCATGAAACAACAAAGATTTCACAGGCAGCTTTATCTCACACAGACGCTATAAGGGCAGGGAGGAGATGGAGAAGATGAAAGGGATGTGCTGTACTTGGTTAAAGAGAGATTGGTACTGAAACCAGAGGTCTGCAAAAGGAACTCTTCCATTCTTAGGGATAATGCTGCCTTAAAGAACCTCTCTCAGATTAGCCAGTCCATTGTGCACTTAGGATCATGAAGAACCATTAAAGGCTGCACTGAAAGAACAGCCAAGTGGATTTTTTCCATCTATGCTGATAATTTAGAAATTGCTCGTCTTAAAAATTAAGATTTTTTTGAACATTAGTATTTGAACAGTACTTTTATTTTTTTTCCCAACATTACCTCATACAGCTTTAATTAAAGAAAAAAGTCACCCTCCACTCTAACCAGCCTGCCTGTCCCCCTGCTTCTGTAGAGGTTTTATTTCAAATAAACACCACTAAGTTCCTTAGACTAAAGTCACCAATGTTTTATATATATTTCAATTGTCTATAGGATGAAAAAAAGGTGGACATGGTCAGATCATCTCATCACTTGCACAATCAAACCTTGATGTGTTCAAAAAGCCATCTGAATAATTGTGAAGAATTTGGGTGCATCAGTATCCTGGCTAAAGGGGGATGGTATGTTCTTCTCACATCAAGGACATAACTGCAGCTCAGCAATACTCTGACAACCAATGTCACAGAGAACAGAAAACTCAGAAGGCTAGAACTCATGGAATCTACATCTCTTTCAGTCAGAAATTTCACTAGCAATGCGAAGCAGCTCACTGACAAAAGTGCTTTTGCAACTGTAGGCTCCCATGTGTGCAAAACCAGAAACTATTTTTAAAGGAAGCTGAAACAAAAAACCTGATTTATCTTGGTTTCATTAAACAAACAAACAAAAAAAACAAAACCAAAAACCACAACAACCAATCAAACAAACAAAAAAAAAAAACCAACAAAAAACCCCAGAGAAAAACGTAAGGCATAGTTAAGACTTCTATAGCGCTCCCATAAGAGAGACTACGGAGATTTTCCTTACTGCCTTCTCTCAGTCCAAAGAAGAACTGAGCCAGAACTTTATGCCCTGTAGAGTCATTTGAACATAAGAGCAAGACCATCAGCTGTAGAAAAACATTAATGATACGTCTGGTGCTTTTGACCCAATTTCCTATTTTTCTCTGTAGAAGTATTGCCCACATTTATCTGTTTCAAATTTAAACTCAATGAGGTCAATTACATTATTTTCTGGTTTACTGCTATTCTTTCCTTAAATTGTGTAAGATAAATCTGTAAAACCAAGTAACTTCTGGATCATTTTTATCAATTGCCACAAAAATTTGTAACATTCACTTCATCATAGTATCTCTATCAAGGAAGGGGAAAAGCAACATAACACAAAATAACATTAAAAGTGTGTAGAGCCAACTTACAATCCATTTTGTAGCATTTATTTTATGGTGTGGCTTGACCCACGACACAAATCTTTGTTTAAGAATCCTATCTATGTTCCTTGTCTTCCACTGTCCATACTTTAACCGAGGATAAATCTTTAATCAATTAATTTTTTTATCATAAGAATGGGCTGAGACTGTGTGTCCTGGGAAGAAGCTCTTTTCTACAATCAGGACAACTCAAATTAGTATAAAATCTTGTCATGCTGATTTTAAGAACATTAAGTAGGTTTGGCCAGTTAGGAGATAATCATTCTCACTTACAGCAAAGATGTATTATGCTTTACATTTAAGTATGCATTAAATTCCAAATTTAAATAAAAAAATATACTAAGGTTATTGTCTTATCATTAAAAAGCACTAATTCATCCACTGTTGCTGTGTAATCTTCCACGTGAGCTGCAGCCAAGTACTCCTGACATTTAAATTATATTTCTGAACACAGAAAGACTCTAAATGCCAACAGCTTCCAATAAACATTAAAACAATCATATAAGCTCACTATATTTGAAAGTAAGATAGTATTCACAGCAATATTACTTACTTAATGTGTCTAAATCTGTTTCTAAGCACTCATTTTCAGGTCCCTGTGTTTTAATTAGAAACAAGCTAATGTACTGAATAGACAGAAGCTGATAAAATAATTTGCAGATTATTAGAAGTTGAAATCATTATTATTGGAAAATAAAGGCCCTAATATACAAAACCCCTATGTGTATTACAACACTGAATTTAAAATTCAACCATCCAAGGAGGCACAGTGGCAAACAGACATGGTGCATCCTGTTCAGCAATAGCTAGCAGAAAACCAGAACTGACCCATCTCAGTAAAACTCAAAATTGTCATAGGCCTGGTAACTAATTAAGTATGCTGGCAAAGAGCATACCAGCATTTAAAAATTGTACTGAGGACTGTATTTAGATTAAAATCCTGACAGCAGTTACTCACTATGCCATAGTGAAGAAACATAATGATGTCAGTCATGTAAAGAGACTAAACTAAACTCACGTTTTGAGAAGAAAGAAAAAAAAACCAGTTCAAGAACTAGAAGAGAAGCAATTGATGGTTGCCATGAAATAATTATTCGGGAGATAAAACCTACAAGGAAAGAAAATACGGTAGCCAGAAATCATCACCTAAATTACGCAAAACACCATGACCTGCTAAGGTCTGCAGTTACATTACATACGACAGCAGGAAGCTATTTTCTTTGAAATAAAAGAGAAGTGGGTATTCCTAGAATACCATGGAGAAAATTGCATGTGAAATATATAGATTTAATCTGATTAATTCCTTCTCTCCAAGGTCATGCTGAAATATGATCATTATCTAATTAAGGAAAATAGGTATGAAGAGTCATACAAAATACAGTCATTTAGGTTTTTTATGATATCTAAGGCACAGATCATAACAGAATTACTGTGATTTTCAAATGGTACTGCTTTTTCTCTTTCTCAAGCTGGTAAAATTCAATTATGACTTTTTTCTGAAATCCGTGCTTTTTCTTATTGTAGATCTATTCCCAAAGAAAATTTTGTATAGCTTGCTCAAATAAGTAGTTTATTTCTCAGGGTCTAATATTAGAATTCCTGTGAAAATACATTTTAAAAAGCATTACTTTTCCTGCACATTAAGTTATGTTCTTTGAGAATCCCAGTCTACTGTCTCAGTGCTAAAAGCCAACCATAGATTCTTGATTTCAATGGCTTTAAATTTAAAAGCTAGAAATTGGTAGAAAATGAATCACAATACTTATTATCACTAAGCATGACATTAGGTCATCAAGACATTAAATTTGAGAACTTCACATCCCCAAGTAGCAGGCTTCATGTCTCTTAGGAATACATCAATTGAGGATTCTCTAATCTAAATTTTGAAATTCACAGAATCTTAGGCTGGTTTGGGTTGCAAGGGACTTTAAAGATCACATAGTTCCAAACCCCCTGCCATGGGCAGGGACACTTCCTTCTAGACCAGGTTGCTCAAAGCCCTGTCCAACCTGGCCTTGAACACGGCCAGGGATGGGGCAGCCACAGCTTCTCTGGGCAACCTGTGCCAGTGCCTCACCAACCTCATAATAAAGAATTTCTTCCTAATATCTAATCTAAATCTCCCCTCTTTCAGTTTAAAGCCATTCCCCCTTGTCCTATCACTACGTGCCCTTGTAAAAAGTCCTTCTCCAGATTTCTTGCAAGGCTCCCTTTAAGTACTGAAAGGCTGCAACAAGGTCTCCTGGAACCTTCTCTTCCTCAGGCTGAACAACCCCAAATCTCTCAGCCTGTTTCCATAGGAGAGGTGCTCCAGCCCTCTGATCATCTTTGTGGCCTCCTCTGGACTTGCTCAAGCAGGTACATGTCCCTCGTGTGGTGGGGCCCCAGAGCTGAAGGCAGTACTGCAGGTGGGGTCTCGCAAGAGCGGAGTAGAGGGGAAGTTGATTATGATCACACTGACAAAAATTCAAGCAAGCATTTTCCTCATATTGACATAACACTTTACTACAATTCAGTTGCTGAAATCTTCTCATTAACAAAGAAAAAATGCACATGTTCATATGAATGTAAGATTTCTAAAGAAAACTAGTACGTTAGTCTAGATACACGAATAATGAAACATGAAGTTCTGAAACAAAGAATTCATTTTATGAAGTATAAACAGACTTACAGTTTCACATGTAAGACATCTGGTTTCATTAGTTAATGTTCCCTGAAAGATTTCATGAACCCAGGTTGGGTCTGGCGGGCTGTTATTTTCGTTGTCGATGTTGCCATTAGGTAGGCGACCATTTTGTTTCTCTTGTTTTCTTTCCTCTTGCAAGATATCCGCAATTGTATTTAACAGATAGTTCAAGAACTCATGTGCATCCTGCTGCATGTAGTTATCAAAAAGCTCTACAACATAAAACAACAGAAGAGTTTTTATTTGATAGGTTAGTGCCATACTACAAAAATATTTTTAAAAGAAGTCAAATTTCAAATCCAGTCTTTATTTCTTGAATCGTTCAGGGTAATACATCACCAACACAAAATGTGGACTTCATAAACTAAGCCAAAAATATAGGGGATGGGAAGACGGGAGGGCAAGTCAGCTTACCTTCTCAGAAATATCTCAGCTGATGGGAATTAACGGAAGAGTGAGCCATTCTGCAAGACCACTAGGGCATGATTCAGCTACCTAAACACAGGTGTGCATACAGTGCCACCTGAAATTATATAGCTCATCCCATCCAGCTTCCAGATGCCAATCCATGATGATTTGACTCTCTTACAGGGGCTACGCTATCTCTGCAAAGCTTAGGTCAATGTCTTGGATAACACAGGACATCTCAAATGGCAACGGATGCTGATATTTTCCATCAATTAACTGGGAACTTATGACAAGAAATGTTTCTTCACCTATATGAAGCTTCCATGTCTGTATGAGACATACAACAGACAGACAGGAGCAGCCTCACCTTCACAAGCCCAGGCCCTCATGGGGGACTTCAACCACCCCAATACCTGTTGGAGGGACAACACAGCAGGGCTTGAGCAATCCAGGATATTCCTGGAACGAGCAGATGACAACTTCCTTCTCCAGGTGATAGAGGACCCAATGAGGAGAGGTGCTACGCTGGACTTTGTTTTTACACTACCAAGGAAGGGCTGCTGGGAAATATGAAATTCAAGAGCAGCCTTGGCTGCTGTGATCACAAAATGGTGGAGTTCAAGATCCCTAGGGTGGTGAGGAGGGTGCACAGCAAGATCATTACCCTGGACTTCAGCAGAGCAGACTCTGGCCTCTTTAGGGATCTGCTTGGTAGAAGTACCATGGAATAAAGCCCTGGCAGGAAGAGGGACCCAACAAAGCTGATTAATATTCAAGGATCGCCTCTTCCAAACTCAGGAGTGATGCATCCTGACAAAGAGGAAGTCATGCAAAAACATCAGGAGACCTGCATGGATGAACAAGCAACTCCTGGAGAAACTTCAACATAATAAGGAAGTCTACAATGGGTGGAAGCAAGGACAGGTAGCCTGGGAGGAACACAGAGAAATTGTCTGAGCAATCACGGATCAGGGTAGGAAAACAAAAGCCCTGATAGAATTAAATTTGGCCAGGGACCTCAAGGGCAACAAGAAAAGCTTCTACAGGTATGCTGATGACAAAAGGAAGACAAGGGAAAACATGGGCCCTCTCTTTAAGGGAATGGGAGAGCTGGTTACCCAGGATATGGGGAAGACAGAGGTACTCGGTGACTCGGTCTTCACCAGCAAGTGCTCCAGCCACACCACCCAAGTAGCAGAAGGCAAAGACAGGGACTGGGAGATTTAAGAACCACCCATTGCAGGAGAAAGTCAGGTTCAAGAACACATAAGGACCCCCAAGGTGAGGGTAATGAGGCACTGGAACAGGTTTTCCAGAGAAGTTATGGATGCCCCTTCCCTGGAAGTATTCAAGGCTGGATGGGGGGGCAAGGCTGGACGGGGCTTTGAGCAACCTGGTCTGGTGGAAGGTGTTCCTGCCTGTGGCAGGGTGGTTGGAACTAGATGATCTTTAAGGTCCCTTTCAATCCAAACCAGTCTATGATCCTATAATATGTTCTATCACAGGAAGAACATGAACAGTAAATGTTCAAAACATCGCTTCATTTATTTTCACTTTTAGGGTTTTAAGTCTATTGCTCCGTCAAAAGCACAGTGTCGTCAATACTTGCAATGGAAAGAAGAGTAAGACTAAAAATCTAGAGATACTGATATATTTAAACAACTACTTTCTTTCTCAAAGCTTTTTAAGTAAGGTAGTTATTTGCAGAAGCCAAATTAGCCTAAAGTTCTAGCCACAGCAAAAGCAAACAGGTTTCAAATAAGGACTTCAAGTAATAAATAGATCTGTCTTTCAAGTTGTAAATATTGCTTCTAGATATTGGTATATGTGACACTTTTATTACTGGCAGACCTGCTGGATAGATAATAATGGATTCACTATGCTTTATGCTTCATTTCTTCACTCTGCCAGCATTTCTAAGCATAATAATTTTAGGATTAATTCAGTGGGAGGGGAATAGTTTCACATACTTGCAATGTATAGCAATGATACAGATTAAAGCATAAAGCTGAACTCTTTCTTAAAAAGTCTTCTCCCTGGCTTATGTTCAAATTGGTACTATTCTGAAAACACTGTTTATTGTAGTCCCCTGGGATATCAACCTGAGAAATCCCCTACTGCTACAAATCCTCACATAAGGAATGGGGCTAAGAAAACCATAAAGGCATTGAACCAGATTTAGTAATACTTACTACTTCTCTCTGACCAGGAATAGTTACAAGAAAATTTACTTGCCAATTTAAAAAGCATTCTATATCACTGGCTAATATCATACAAGTCTTTCAATGTGCAATTACTTCAATTAATTATAACTTGTAATTTGCTTGCAGTCCAAGAATATACTATGAGACTGGCCTTCGGTGGGGGGATGATTCCCAAGACTGGAAAGATGAATGGAAAAGATACTCAGTGAAGCTGGAGTTTAAATGTGCATACAGCAACTACACGGAATCTTTACTATCAATCACTTGATGGCATCCAGGAGTAAACTTCAAAAGGAAAAAAATCCCTGTTTATTAACAAAGTAGAGAGAACTTGATGGTAATCTAGATAATCTGGAGAGGTTACGTAGTGCAATAGGTCAGTCAAGAGTATGAATCAAGTATATTTAATGAACCATTACACTACTTTTGAGAGTAAGAATAAGTTCAACTCTGAATCTATGCAACTGAAAGGTCTTTAATCAAGTAAATCAAGGCAGAACAAGAGCTACAAGTCTCTTGAGGTAAAACACTTCAGAGGTTCTTCACAGCATTGCATCACAGATCTCTCAGGTCTATGTGCCGGGTCAGTAAATTAGCAGTAAGTACAACAGAATGAAAGGTACACATAGTTCATTTTATGATTAGAAGAAATTTAAGCAAATGTAACAGTATACCTTTGGCTGACTTGAAGCCAGCAGCTGCTTCCCAGCCAGTTAAGCTTTAAAGTCATTAATATATGTATGCTGTATTCAGACATTGAAAATAAAGATGGAATAGCAGCATTGTAGTCTGGAATACATTATGTTCTCAGTCATCACCCTGGTATAGCCAGATACCAACTGAAACGGAACCTAGAATTGGTGTTGCATACCTGATTCTTTAATTCACTCTTCTTTAAAGCTCAAAATTATATACTTCTACTATAATCACTTCATAGCACATATGATGTCCACGTAATCACTGCCTGACAATTTAACCATTTATTTGTAGAAAAGGTGAGTGTATTATCATCAAAAGAAATTCAAAAGAAACCCAAAAAGACAACAAGAGGTGAGCTTTCTCATCTGATTTCTCTAAGAGTTTCCAATTGCCTTCTCCCACTTAGAATCACACAACTAAGCATTAAAAAGAACAGTTTTTAGGAAGAACTTAATGGCTCCTGTGGTTTACTTTCTGCTTTCCATTTGAACCATTCTCCACATTTGTCAAGTTTATTCAACATTCATTGACATAATGAACCGTTTCTTAAATGCATCAATATACGTGCATACTTCTCAAGTACAGTTACCAAAGAATTGAATGACAGTTTCTATTCTCCATAGGAAAGAGACTGTACATTACCTGAGAGCCCTTTTTAAACAGTATTATTACAACTTATGGTGTGCATTTGCTGGAGGGGTCACTTCAAATTAGGAACGTCATCACCATATTTTATTTCTTGTTTTTACTACAGAAATGATCATCACAGCATTTAAACACTTTTTTAGCCTGCATATATAGTCTTGCAGAGATTACAACAGTATGAACATGCAGGATTGTTAAATATGGTAGCTTATACAGTTAATTCAAATCTAATGGTTATTTTTTGGAAACATTTTATGTTATATTTTTATAGAACTGTATGCAAATTGAGTACCAGATTACAAGGTTTCATTTATATTTTAACACTGAATTATTTTCTAAAACATTCTGACCAATTAGCCCTGCAGATAAGAAACCAGAAAAGTTTAAAATCTTTGGAAATCTCTTGTGTTTTAGGATATCGATTACACTTAAAAAATTAAGACAAAACTACTTACTGATTTTAAAATTCATTGATCCACTAAAAACTAGGTCAAGCTAAGTACTGCATAAATTCTAAATAAATTTTAAAAATTGTGGGGTTTTAAGCTAGATTCTTGCAGGGAAGTCTTACCGTCCTTCCCACACACTCAGCTTGGGAGACTGATTCCTGCATTCAAAAAGCAATGTTTTTTTAAACACAGAGCAAAAGTTGTACAGTGAATTTTGATTATAAGAAGACAATTCATAAAGAAGCAAAATTAGCAAGCAATTTCCTAAGCAGCCCCTGACAATACACTCAGTTCTACATGAAGAGAGACAGACAAGGGTTCTCTCTGAAAACAGCCCCAGGGTTACACCCTTATTCTAGGGACACTTCTTTATTATACTGCAGCACTAAGAATACTTTCCATGTGTAACAAATATATGGGTATCTTACTATGTCAACTTCAGAATTAAGCCATATAGCTATGATTAAACCTTAATAGCTATGATTATTACACAAGAAAAAGAAAAAAGTTACCATTTTCTTTTCGTAATCTTGTTATAAATTTCTTGGGAGGTATTACCCCAACTTTTTTCTTCTGGGTAGCTATACTGTGGAACAGATCAGCTAAGCATGTAAGGAGATTCTCTTTTTTTCTTGGTTGACTCTTGTACGCTAAGACTTTGTCTCGAAATGGTCGACAAAAATAAAGTGCCTGAAGAACTGAATTGCAGTAGCAGGTATTCCCAAACTATAAAATAAGAGAGAGATCTATTAGCTTGCATTGTATTACTGTAGAGAGGCAAAATTAAATCCAAAGCATAAGAGAATACATAAGAAGGGACAAATTTTCTGGCAAGCCATTTCTTCTCGACTTTAAAATAGTAAAACATATTTCTGTTTTGCAAAGGATTAACAAGTACACTGTACATAAGTTCAAGAATAACCTAGATCAATTTGAACAATACTATCTAATTTTGTCTCACTTGTAAATTTAACTTATTAGTAATATTTTGCATTTACTTGGGTTAAAATGTTCAACAAACACCACCAATTTCACAGCGTCCAAAATATGCCCGGGTAAAAATATCTATCCATCTACTTAAATCAGCCACAACAGTAAAGCACAGGCACAGCATGACCTTGTACTATGAAAAAATTCAGCTTTTACTGTGAAGAAATTGAGAGCTTCTAAGACACTTCAGAAATTGGATTCTACATATCTTATTAGTTGTGATCGAAGTCAGAAATAATGCTATAACTTGTTTCTCAGGTTACAGTGACCCTCATTTTAGGGTGACAGGGGATGTAATTATAGAACAAAGGGGAATGGCTTGAAACTGTCAGAGGGTAGATTTAACTAGGTATTAGGAAGAAGTTCTTCCCTGTGAGGGTGCTGAGGCACTGGCACAGGGTGCCCAGAGAAGCTGTGGCTGCCCCATCCCTGGCACCATTCAAGGCCAGGTTGGACACAGGGGCTTGGAGCAACCTGGTCTGATGGAAGGTGTCCCTGCCCATGGCAGGGGGTTTGGAACTAGATGATCTTTAAGGTCCCTTCCAACCCAAACCAGTCTATGCATCTATGACAGGACTGGCATTCCAGAGTTTTCTGGACACAGTGCAACATGGCCTTTTCAGGATTCAAAGCTGTGGCACAATCGGTAGTTTCAAATCAAGACTGAAAGTTAAAAAATGCACAAATTGGACATGCACATTTGAAGGAGGCAAGCTACAGCAGGAAAAGCATCCATAATCCCCTTTGTACCAGGACGTTCCAGATGTCCCTCTTCCCCAGACTCCTTCCACCTCATTGACACTGCCTCCAGCTCACTCCAACACTGCAAACACTCCCCACCACCTCTGTGAAGGCATCATGCGTTGCCACTGGATACAGCCTCTCTAATTTTATGCTGCCCTCCTCCAGTGAAACCTATTATCTAACACTGAAAGTGTGAGAAAAATCTTTAAGGCCCTCAGCAAGTAACCCAACCTTTCAGCTGCAGTCACTCAACCTGCAAATTGAAGCACATACCTACCACACATGTTCTGTAAAGTGTGAAAATAGTGTTCATATTCACGTTTTCTGTAAAGATAGTAGCATATATGGGTAACAAATTCTAAGACTATATTGTGATAGGGAGACTGTCATATAGCAAAAAGAGTGGATTTAGAGATATTTTAAGAACAGGTTCCTTCAATAGATAAAAAGAACTGAAAGCTTTTACATCCCAGCAATAACAGGGAAGTTAACTGGTTTTTGTTCTCTCCTGAATGAGACAATGACGAACAAGAGCACCATGCAATTTCATCATAAAACTGGGAAGTAAATTGTTTTATTTTAAATTAATGAAATATTAAGAACTACTTTCTAAATACCCAAGACACGCTCAAAGAATGAGTAAGAAGTGTATTTATCATAAAACTGGGAAGTAAATTGTTTTATTTTAAATTAATGAAATATTAAGAACTACTTTCTAAATACCCAAGACACGCTCAAAGAATGAGTAAGAAGTGTATTTAAAAAAAAAATAAAATTAAGAAGTCTTAAGATCTCCGTATCAAAAAGTGAGGAAATTAACGCCCATTATTTTTATTTATTTAAGGTAGGGAAAATGCTTATATTAGCTTCTGTGTTCAAATCTGCTCTCAAGGAGGTCAATGAACTTAAGAGGAAAACCAGGCTTTTTTCCTTAAAGGAAGCAGATGAAATTACACAGTAGTTTACATCAAAACATTTAATATTGTAAGCTAACTATTTATGAGTTTATAATTAGAGATAGCCCTAGAGAACTACATTAAAATGTTAAGAAAGTTCTCAAAATTAAATCAAATGGGAAAAGTGCTAAAATTTCTACAGCAAGTGTCAAAAGATGAAAAGGCAGCAAATTAGAAATTCCATAGTATTCCAATTTTAAAAAGGAATAGTCTGATAATAAATTAATTAGAATGGTAATCATGCAGTGAGACACAACCAAAATATGAAGCAAAAGAGAACTCAGAACAGTGAACAAAATTCAGATTAATTTAAGATGAACGTATGCTAATCTACATGCCTGTAGGTAGAAAATAAAAGCAAGCACAGAAAGGTCACAAAACGTTATCTTCAACCTAATCCAGAAAGACAGTAAGCCATAAAGATTGTTTTAAAACAAACTCCTGAAAACCTGGCCAACAGACCCTTCCGTTTCAGAAGCACAGCACTTGCAAGAAGGTTGGCAATTGCTGTATAACAAAATGCTCATGAAGTCTACCTCAGCCTAACAGTGGCAAACTGTAAGAAAGACCAACATAGGAATGTTGTGTCTTTCATAGTCAGTCTGTGCGGCACACTGAAGCTCCTCTACCTCATTCAGGGACTGAGACTATATACAGCACAGCCATTTTAACCCATGTTTTCAACTGGTTTATTGCTTGCCTCCTTGTTTCTGCGAGAACCTTCTTAAAATGTGCATATTTAAGAAAAGTATAAAAAACACATTATCTCTTTTTTTCCAGTTCATATTACATTTCTATTCCAAGTTCTGAGAAATCAGACTGTTTCCTTTCACAAAAATACTGCACTCTGGACATTTCATACACACCCCCTTTTTTATAAAAACAAACCCAAACACAACAAACCAAAGTCATAGTTACAACACCCAAACCTGTGTGGAAATACAAAAGAGACAATCGGGAAAGCTGCAACAAAACCACCACACACTAAGGCTTGTAGCCTTATAGTTTAAACTTCTGACGCAACATAAAACTGGGAAGAACCTTGGTTGATGAACTACAGAGCTACAAAAACAAGCAAGAGTTCCACAAGAACTCAGATCTGCTGAGAACACTGTTTGAGCAGCACTAGGGTTCCTCCCAGCTCTGATGTGTTGACAGATCGGATGACTTTAATTGCTGCAATGGGCCACGCCAGTGAATCAGATTTCTCCAAAATATACAATCCATTGCAAGAGACTGAATAACCAAACTTTCTGCTCTGTAAGTCTGGTAAACTTTTGAGGAGTCACCAGAATAGCTCTTATGAGATTAAAAATGTTCATTATCTCATACTCGTTGAATAAAATAATCCATTTAATTTGTGAAGCACATAGATTTGAATAGTTTGCATTACTGCACCGTAGAGAGAAAGAAGAAAGATAGGCAGACTTGATGTTCCTGATTGTCCACGTGCATGGGACATCATACTACTAACATTTTCATCTCACCATCTATCTGAAAAATTTCCTGCTG